AAGGAAATTCAGCATCCCCGCTGGCACTCAGCAGTGAGCACCCTGTATGTGGGACGGTGGGTCTGCCAACAGAAAGGCTACGATAGTGCCAAGGGCTGGGAAGAGCCAAAAAAGCTGGCCCAAAACCTTGCCAGAGGCCTGGGGGGCTCTTAAACAGGCACACGGAGAGCAGAGGTGTGGTGATGGACAAAGTTCACAGGGGCAGCTGGGGGTAAGAAGGCAGGAGCGACCGCTGGAAGCTTTTAATGGGCAGTTCTCCATCTCTGGAAACATTTACATCACGATTGGCTGTATCTGCTCCAGCTCAACCCAGAATGCTTCCTGTAAGAACTTAATTACCCCTAGGGCTTTACAATTCATTGGCTGGATCCAGCATTATCAGCGGAGGTCCAGATCCGAAACAGGCATGGAGCCATAAATAGCATCTTATTTTCAAAACATCACGTACTTATGGGACAGGACTGTAAGACAGCCAGGACATACCCTTCTCTGACACATCAGAAAGCCTCCAAGCCATTAGCACATACTTGTCCCCCTCCAAAACCCAAGCACAGCTGGAACAGACACCCACCTGGCTCCTCCATACACGAGTATGTGCACTTCACTGCTTCTGCACCCACAACCCCAGCACACGGTGGGGTGGGCGCAGATCTGCTGTGTTGGACCTCACCATAACACGCAAGCACAGGCAGGGAAGCTCGCTATGGAGCCTATCTGTAGGACACACATCTGCAAGGGCACAGCCCTACCAGCCCCAGGTTGCAATGCCCCAGGTACCAGCCCACTACAGCAATAACCCAGCAGGTCACACTTCTCCCTTTGGACTTGGGCTGCATCAGTGCTGGAGCTGACCTGGGAGTGCCCAGCTGGGCTGTGTGGAACCAGGCTGTGGTGGTGGGGGGGCTGGACAGGACCCCCACATCCTCTGTTCTGGCTCTGTCCCCCAGAGAAGGAGCAGGAGGAAGGCAGTGCAGGCTCCCCTCCTGCCTCCCCGTCATGGTGGGACACACTGTTGACCCCTCAGGCTCACCACAGGGCTGGCCTGGCTCCAGCTTGAGCTGGAGGAGACAGGTGGCAGCCTGGATCCTCCAGAGACTGCCTAGGTGAGCAGGTTCCTCCTCTTCCCATCACCAGCTCCTCTCCTCCTCAGAAATGCCTGCGACCCCAAGGGGTGACACCACTTGGCTCTGATAGCAAGTGTCACCACCAGCAAAACCACTCCCTGTTCCCACCACAAGATGAGGACTCCCCGTGCTTGGCACTGTACGAGCGCAACAAAGAAGAGGCCGCCTGACACCGATGTCCTCCAGAAACAGAGAGGAGCAGGAGGTGAATGCAGAGTTCAAATGCAGAGTTCAATAACCAGGCCCCGCAGCCAGTGGCTGCCATCCCTGAGCAGGCAGAGACCCTTGCAGGCAGCATCCGTCTGCCACCCAGTCCAAACAGAGAGCACAGGCAGCACAATAGCTCTGCCTCCACCGTTGCAGAGCGGAGCCAATGAATAAGGAAGGCAGAGAGAGAAATGTGCTTAATATGCTGCATGGGAGGAACAGGGGGGAGAAGGGGGAGGCAGCAGACAAAGAGCAGGGAGATGGAGAAAAAAGACGCAGGCAGGGAGAAGGAGAAGGTGAAGCGGAGAAGTGGGGAGGATGGGGCTGGGGGAGGCGCATACGTGGAGCCCCTCGCCAGCGCAGCGGAAAGGAGCTGGGAGGTGAGCAGAGGAGCAAAGCAAAGGGGAGCGGGCAGCCAGCCCCTCACAGGGCCCTGTGGGATTGGCGAGCAAGGCCCAGCAAAATGAAAATCTCTTAACCACACAGAATTGTTAACTGCCCCCAAATCCTTTTGTGCTGGGGCTGCGAGCTTAGAAGAGCTTAAGCTGTTAGATGCATGAACTTCCTCCATAAATATCCCTTGTGTACACTGCCGCAAGCAGGCTTGCACTGCACAAGCCAGATGAAAAACCCAGTGGAGAAAATGAACAGCTCCTTCCAGCGCCCTGTGGCTGCACCGAGGGGCCATCCATCGCTCAGGATGCCCTCTTCCACTGGGACCAATCAGTGGGGCAGGACTAGTGAGCCATGTCCCTGCTGCTTCCCACCCCGTCCTGTTTGGGCAACCAAGCCATGTGAGAGCACTTCAACCCGAAAGCCAGCTCGAATTTGCTTTTGTTTTGCTTCTGGAAAGGGGCCCAGATTCCCTCCCACCCCTCGAAACATGAGAAAACCTGTCGGCCACATGTACGAGCGAGTCCCTCAACCCAGGCAGCTCCTACACTGTCTCAGTATGTCCCTCATACAGCAGGGACCGGGGACAAGGACATGACAGGAGGTGGGCAGGGATGCAGGACGACATCCCACAGGTTCTTCTTGAGTCGAGCTGGGGAGCAGAGCCCTTCCTCTGTCCGACCAAGCCAGGGTGATCAGCCCCTTCCCCAGTCCTCTGTGGGGTTCACTGGTGAGGCAGGGAGAGGATGGGGATGCTACGGGACAGTCAGTGCCATGGCTGGGGCTCCTCCCAGTCCTCACTCTTCTGGGAGCTGCTGAAGGAACATGGAGGGTCCCATCCAGGCCTGACTGCACAGCCTCATGTAGGGAGAGAAAAAGGGAAGGGGAATGGGAAGGGAAAGGGGAAGGGGAAGGGGAAGGGGAAGGCAGCCCAGAGCCAGCTGCCCCACAGACACGGCAGGCTGCTGGCCACCACATGATTAATGACAGTGGGGAGCACGGGGCCGGGCGCACGCCAGCGCTGGCTGCAGAAACAGCTGCTGAGGTACTGGACCTCCCAAAATCCTGCTGCTACGCAGACAAAGAGGACGCTTGGCCTCTCCCCTGCTCAATCCCTCCACCTTGGCCCCCACTGCTGCTCTGCCTCTCCTCCCAGCAGCAGGGACAGGGTTCTGCATAAGGAGGTCCTGGGGGCTCTGGGGCAGGCAAAGGGACTGTCCCTTGGCTGGGCTGGCAGAGGGACCAGGACACCCCATGAAACCATAGCTGCATCATAGCAAAGTGCTGTGCAGGGGTGGGTCTGATCAGGAAAAATAAAAAAGACTGGGATGGAAAAGCTGACACGAATCATTTTGGCTTTCTGGTGTTGTTATGAATGCTTCACTTGGATGTCATAAAACACCCGTCCTCCCTCCGAGGCTTGGATCAGCCAGGCTCCCTCTCCGCACTGCACTGCAGCAGGTCCTCCTCGCTGTCCCCGTCCCCAGCCCTGTCCATTCTGCAGCTGAGGGACACTCGATCACCCCAGGCTCAGTGAGAAGAGACGTTCAGGAGCTCAGTGAAAGTCAGCTCAAAGCAGGGATATGAAATAACACACCCGGCACACCAGGACGCTTGACGCAGCCCAGCCACCAGCAGGAGACACGGTGCCCCCTCCAAGGGGACTGCCCAACCTGCAGTCCCACCCAAGCATGGCCACAGACTGTCCGTCCCCCTCTCGAGTGTGTCCTCTCCCCACTCACCCACAGCATCCCCATGCTTGCTCGGTGCTACCTGGCAACCCCTTCCCACAGCAAGAAGAGAGGAGACACGGCTCCTTCCCTGCACTTTGCAATGCCCACCAACATATCTATAATTGACCTCGGAGAAACCCCAGCTCTGCTTGGAGTGTGCCAATGCTACTGAAAACGTAATGGGATTTTGGTATTTGGCTGGGCCAGCGGGGAGAAGAGTCCATTTGCCAAAGTCCGTGGCTTGCTCTGTGCATGGTACAGCTGCAGTTGCCCATTAAACGTGCAGCTCTCGGGTCCCACCCTCCCTCCCAATAACCACAGCAGCTCCTTCCTCTCCCTCCCCAAGCCCATGTAGACTTTCCTTCCCCTGTGCCATCTGCACGACTGGGAAGGAGCACAGAGATGGGTTTGGGTACTATGCTTTCAGGGAGGGTGATGCAGAGTATTTCACTTGCCCTGGACTATGCTGGCAGGAGAACATCCGCAGAGCAGGAGAACATCCACAGAACAGGAGAACATCTACAGGAGCAGGAGAACATCTACAGCGCAGGAGACCTGTGGCTGCTGAGGCATCTCAGGGGCCAGGCTCAGAGGTGCCCAGGCTGGAGAGGTGACCCTGGCCCTGAACAGCCTGTGACCATGTCCCACTGTAGGCCGTTTGTACCTCACCAGGAAAATGCTGCAGACAATTTGCTCTCCCACCACCACCTCACTTTTGGGTGCCTGCACTGTGCTCCCCTCACCCCAGAAACATTTCAATCCGCACCAAGGCACAGGGCACAAACTGAAGTGAAAACAGTCCGAGTATTTTGGCAGATGACTGGAAATCAGTGGCATGCACCATGGCTACAAACACACAGGTGCCCTTTCAAGACCTGGAGAGCACAGAGGACGCCAGCGACAAGCTGGACCCCTGGCCCCAATGGCTCCAAGGACCCAGAGGTAACACAGAGTCTCTGCAGTGAAGGGATGGGATCCAACTACTGGGACAGTGATTGAGGAGCTGAGGAAGGGGCCAGCATCCACACACATGCTCCTCTCCCATGTCCCTGTGCACTCCTCATAGAATCACAGAATGGTTTTGGTTGGAAAAGACCTTTAAGTTCATCGAGTTCAACCATCGAACCAGCCCTAAGTCCACCACTAGACCATGTCCCTAAGCACAACATCTCCTCATCTTTTAAACACCTCCAGGGATGGTAACTCTACCCCCTCCCTGGGCAGCCTGTTCCAGCACTTGACAACCCCTTCAGTAAAGAAATTCCTCCTGATATCCATCCTAAACCTCCCTTGGTGCAACTTGAGGCCATTGTCCCTTGTCCTATCACTCGCTACGAGAGAGAATTGACCAACCCCCACCTTTCTAACCCCTCCTTTCAGGGAGTTGTAGAGGGCAATAAGGTCTCCTCTCCCACCCCTGCCCCAGGACTTCACTACTAGGTGGCTCATGTGGACCCAGGCTGTAAATCCCGACTGCTACCATCATCACAGCCCACTGGCAGCAAGGTGAGTGTGGGGAGCGAGACCAAACGTGAGCAGTTACCTCTGCAGACAGTCCCATTTTCCACCGACTCGTAGCCAGCCCGGCACATGCAGCGGCCGATGGGCACCAGCCACTCGCCGTCCCCGTTGCAGTACAGCTTGATCGGCACGTCCACCTCCTCTGCATTGGCGATGCACGTCCCCCGAGCTGCCACCAGCGAGGTGCTCTCCGCTCCCGAGAGGGTTTCTTGGAAGACGGCCCCGTTCTGGATCACGCGGGGACATTTGCGGTAGAAGACGCGGACGGCAATCAAGGACATGCAGCCTCCATAGTCCTGGAAGGCCAGGTAGAAACCATTCTTGGAGACAGGCCCAAAACTGCGCACCTCCGTGTTAATCTTCATCACCCGTCCACCTAGGTCCACCTGCGAGAAGCTCTCATCGGCAGCAATCGTGTCCACCTTCATCCAAGGGTTCTCCATCCAGTTAGGAAAAGTCTTGGTGGCCGAGTCAAAGTCTGACTCGAAATAGTACAGGTTAAAAGTCTCCTTACAGGAGCCAGGGACATTAGGGATGCTGCTGCAGTCCCGGACTGAAAATTTCATCTCCACGTGGATGCGGTGCGCTCCTCGCCTCCGGATGTACTTGGTCCGGAGCCAGTTGTTTTGACTGGACTCGAAGACGTTGCACACCTGGTAGGTGCGAATTGTGTTCATGTTCTCGTCGTACCCGCTCACCTCTTCCCACTGCAGATGGGACACAGAAAATCAGGGGGCAGCACCGAATCGACACTCCCCACCTGCCTCATCTCCTCCCAACCCCACCACTTGCCAAACAGACAGATTCTGTCCCACACCATGCCCACCCCATCACAGCAGCAGCCCCATTGGTGCCCAGTGCCTTGCCCTGGCACAGCTCCAGCACCACCCTGCAAGCACCCTGTACCTCCACACCTCTGTCCTGCTCCACCAGGGTTTGACCTACACTGCACGCCAGGCAGGCTCCATGCGGCGGGGACAAGACGGCCCAGGCCCTCAGCAGAGCTGGGGACCATCCTGCAGCACCATGCTCCATGCCCAGATTTGCATTAAAGCATCTCTGCCAGGTGGCAGGGCATGGTGGGGCCATGCCCCTCCTCTGCAGGCAGTGATGTCTTTAGCAGAGGCTCCTGCCCGTGGGCTGCACCGCACGGCAGAGCCTCCCGGCAAAGCAACACAATGCCTTTCGCAGATGTATTCCCACCGGTGCTGCTACGGTTACAGACATGGCAGACAGGACTTGCTTTCTCAAAAGTGCGTAACGCAGCCGTAAAATCTCCTCGCCGGCTGCAGCCCAAGCATCGGTGCAGGCTGCCAGATGCACAATGGGGTAGTCGCCAGTGATCTCTCCACAGAGGAAAGTTCATGGGAGCCTGGCTGACCCTGCTGTGTACCCAGAAAGGGAGACGCTGGGCTAGACCCCTCACCCCTGTCCCTTCAAGGGCCAACACACTTTGGGGTCCCTCCTGCTGGTGTGCACAGGTCCCAGCCCCAGCTGCCCTAAACTGGATCTGTGGGATGTCCTGTGAGCCGTGGAGTGATGGTAACATCCTCCTCAGCAAAACAGCTCAGAGCTGACGTATTTCCCCATGGGAAGCTCAGCCCAGCTCCCCTCAGCTGACCAACAGCTGACTGCCAGCTCTGGAGGAGTCTCTGCAGAACTCGAGGCTGCTGTGGCACCTCCTGGCCCTATCCCATTCCCTGCCCTTTTTCCAGGACAGTTTTTTCCAAGTCCTTCAGTGTTTGTTGACGCCTCCATCCTCTGTAGGATGGGGAGGCTTCAGGGCGGGTGATGCAACAAGCAAGGGCAGAGCTGCAGGTTGTAACCAGTCACCACTCCTCTGTGGTGGACATAGATGGGAAAGGGTCCTTGTGGGAGGAGAAAGTCACGAGGCTCACCACAGCATCTCCCCCAGCCCAGACTTTTTTGGAGGGCAGAGCATCTCCTTGTGCTCCTCCCCTCCGACTCACAGCATCCTCGTGATGCTGGCGGCAGGGACCGGGGTCCCGCTAGCGTGTGACAGTCCCAGCCAGCTGGAACGGCTTCTTCTGACCTGGTTCATAAACCTGCTCAAGTGGAAGCCAAGCTGTTTCCCATGGACGTGAAACCCTGAGCATAGCCCTATCCCGGACGGGGGATCATGACAGCAGGGCAGGGCACAGCCTGGATCCAGCACCAGTGCCAGGACTGAGGGAAAACCCTGCAGAAGCAGAGCACCCCCAGCCCCTCAGCCTGCAAATGGCCTCACAAGGGCATACAGGACTGCAGAGGGAGGCTCACGAGATGGGAGACAGATTGCTCCTCGCACATCAAGGCTAACAGCCCAACAGAAGGCTGTCAGAGAAGATTCCCAAACAGCTCCAACCACCTCTGATTGGCAGTGGCTGCAAATCTGCTGCCGTCATTGGGGGAGGTGAAGAGCATCCTCGCAAAATGAAGCAGGAGCATTTGCTTTATTTTCCTGAAATAAATTTGGCAGGGTAGTGGAAAATCGCAGGATCTCCCTGTTTTTTAGGGCATGGGCTGGGAGTGGGGTAAAGAAATCAAGGACAAGGCACAGGGAAGCTATTCCTTCCCCTTCCCTGTCTCTTACATGGCTCTCCCTCTCCTGGACCACTTCCTACACCCACTCCAATATAACATGTCAGCCACTAAGACCTAAGGATGCCCAGTACCTGCCCCGTCCCCATCCACACCTCTGTGGCCCCCGGGAGGGCTCAGGACACAAGCCTGAAGAACTCCACCTGGCCTGGCAGGAGCAGCCCATGTTGGAAGGAGTCTCTGTGGCTTGGGGATGGATAGTAGACAGTGGATGCAGGGCATGGAGACACTGACGAGCGGCATGGGAGCTCCACAGACAGGGAAGAAAAAACTGTTTGGGCTTTTGGATCTCTATTAATCACCAAAGAGGCAATAAACAGGTGGAGCACCCAGCAGCTTTGGTCTTCCAGGTGATGCTGTCTGCACCCAATCTTGTTGAAGCCAGGCCATCCATGGAGGGGATGCTCTGTCCTGTCCTGCCAGTGGGCATGAGGCCACCATGGGACCACTGCATCAGCACCCACGGTGTGCACAGTGCAGGAACCCAGGGACCTGCCTGGAGGTGGGAACGGGAGGCAATTCCCACCAGCAATGCTGCACTGGACTTTCCAGATGGGCATCTCCACCGTGCTCGGGATAGGGGACCTGGGAGCACCTTAGGGGCTAGGCTCAGGACCCCCAGCATCCTTCTGCATCCCTGCAGCAGCACGCGGGGGGCTCCCAAGCTCCCTTTTCTCAGCTGGGAGAGAAAGTCACCCCCATGCCCCAGCCTCTGCGCTTCCTCAGTGCTTAATTAGAAGCCTCTCCCTTTCTCCTCGCTCTCTAATTAACATGCCGGGAGCTCAAAAGAATAAGGCAGCACAATAATACGGGGAGACGGCTTCCAGCAGGCCCAGGCCTCATTACTGTGGGGCTGGGGAGCTGGGAGCAAGGCGTGCTTTACATATGGAAACACCGCAAACAAGAAAGGCTGGGCGAGGAGAGAAAAAGACTTGACCTCTGCTCTCGCCTATTATGCGCCCATCATCCCCCTTCGGCAGCCGGGCCGGTGCTGGCGAGGCAGCCGGGCTCACGGGCGGGCGCGGGTCTTTATCATGGTGATGGGGGACCAGTGCCGGCAGCACCCGCGCCCCAGCGAGGCCGGGCTGCTCAAGGTTTAATCTCCCCAGTGGAGGCCTTTCTTGGCCACTTCTTTTCTTCTGCCAAGTTGGCTTGGGGAGGGGGCTTGCTGTCAGCCCTGGGGTGAGGTCCACAGAAACATCTTCATCTAGTCCCTGTGGAGGGCAGATGGATGGAGCCTGAGCCACCACCTCTGCACACAGGGATGGGAAGCATCTCCAGGCTTTGATCGGGCTGGATTGGGCCACCCTAGCCCAAGGGAGCAGATCAGGGGTGTTGGGCACTGGAGCCCCACACTGGTGCCAGCCACTGCAGCCAGAGGTGGGCAGGATGGTCTGAAGCACCTTGATGCCCCATGCAGACCCTGTGGGACACAGAGGTGGCCGTGGCCGCTTTGGTTTTGTGTCATGAGCAGAAGGGTGCAGAGATGCATTGCCTTGTTCAGCCCTCTCAGCACTGGTAAAGCAGAAACAGTCACAGCTGAACCAGCAAAGGTCACTCCATGAGATGCCCGGGGTGCCGGACAGTCATTTCAGGACTTATCAAACAGCTTGCAGGCCAATGCCCTCATCCTTTCCTGCTACAAGTGACAGGCAATGGGATAATAAGTGAGATACTGAGGACAAACAATGGTGGCTTTTTTGCTTTTCCCACTAGACCTTTTCAGGTGGCCAAGGCGCTCCTGTGACTTCTGTTGAGCCATCCCACCTCCATTCATGTGCAGCAGGAGACCCCAGACAGGACAACTTACCCCGGAGGGAGGGTGCACCATCCAGCCCAGCTCTGCCGTTGCCGTTGTGGAGTCCATCAGCGTCTCTGTGGGAGGAAGGTGAAACAAGGAGTCAGTGACCACCCAGTGAATGGCCTGAGGCTGGCGAAGGGGAAGGGGTTGGAGAGGACCCAGTCCAGGACTGCAGCCATAGAGCCCAGCATCAGGCCCTCTCCATCAGATTTGCTTCCCTATCCATCGCTTGTTCCTCCCTGGCCCCCTCATCTCCTGCAATGCATGGCAGGATATGCTCTTCCACTTTCCTCCTCAAAACCCAGGATGAGGGTACCATAGCCTTGGAGCAGCTCTGCCACTCCAGTCAAGGATCCCAGCCTGAGCTCATTTCTTCTATTGCCTTCCAGTTTCTTTTGCAAAAGCAGGATATTATTTTCACAGCGTTTTGCATAGTAGGCAGAATCCTTGGCGATGCAGTAGGACATGGGAAGGAACAGCACTTAAAGTACTAAAACATTAAACCGATGCTGGTTTTCCAGGCGATTTGGGCTGAAATAGGTCAGGCAACGCTACCGCCAACCAGCACAGAGGAGAAGACTTCCTACACCACATAGGCAGCAAAGCCTCCTCGTCCTGTCTACAGCTCATCATGCTTCTAGCACTGAAGTTGTTTTCATTCCAAATAGCTTTATTTTGGCCTAACTACACTGATGGCAGAAGGGATGCCCAGGTTATGGCATTCCAGTACTTGGGCTAACCTGTGTAGGTGTTCCCCATCCAGCATGGGAACAGGCCAGATGGCCTCATCAGAGATACACTGGACAGGCACTTCCACGAGTGGTTTCCACAATCTGGGTGGACAAACTGTCCGTCCTCCAGGTCTGTGATCACATGTTCATTGCAATGTGGGGATGCTGCCATTTTAAGAAAATAGGAGAATATTCCTGTGTTTATGAAATCGAGTCTAGAAATCTCATCCAAAGGTTTCAGCACACGGAGGCTGGGCTTGGGAAAAGCGTGATGCTAGCAGGATCAACTGCACAGGCTAGCATGTGGCCAGTGTTTCTGCAGCTGAAACCAAGGTGATGCCCACAGAAGAAATTATATCCCTCTGCTCTGCAGGGAGAATGTGAATCTGCACCTGATTTCAGCGCCTGCACTCGGGATGCCAACTGCATTTGCCAGAATGCTGGGAAGCACCCATCAAAAGACGCAAACACGAAATTCAGCTTGGAGCTTCCCATTCCCTGCCCTTCCAGATAATACAAGACAGGCCGGGCAACAGCTCAGATTAGGGCTCTGCAGCTCTCAAGAAAAACATCTTATGCACCAGATGTACACCCAGCATCAGCTCCCTGAGGACAACCAACCAGGAGAACCCCAACAGAGTCAAGATCTCCAGCCACCACCCCATAACCCAACAAACAGTGCCAGTTCCCATGGCCACAACAGAGTTACGGCCTGCAACTGTGTCCTCTTGCTGCTCCTCGTCACCAAAACACCGAGCATCCTGCCACAAATCCCCAAAAACCATCTCCACCTTCTCCACTTTCACTCCATCGAACAAAAACAAAGCATGAAAAGCTCAGCCTTGAGCAGACCCATCATCTAAGAGACAAGCCAACAACGTGAGCTCCCCTTTTCCCACCAGCAGGCCAAAAAGTGCCTCAGCACAGATCTGCTCCTTGCACCTACTCCTGGCAGTAAATCATTCTCAGACTGCGGGTTGTTCATTACTCCTGGTTAGAGCCAGCGGTTTCCAGTTCACAGGAAACCAGGATTTCAAAATTTGGTTTTATTCCAAGAGCAAAAAGCAAAAATAGTCAGTTTCAAATTTTCCCACTACGAAGAGTTTCTGGAAAACAGCTAGTCCAGAAATGTTGTCATTCAGATTTATGAAATTTCGTTTTAAACTGAGTATTTGTTTACATAGCTCAATAATAGTGTTTATTTTATCAGAGTATCTGGCTTTTTCATTAAAACACCAGTGGCACTTTGATCTGAAAAGAAAACAATATTTTTCACTCCGTGCTAGCTAGGAGCTGCATTTCTTTAAAAAAACCTTGAATTTGTTACTTTATCTTAACTACCAATGACAGTGGTGCATAGTAAGTATATTAATAGCAGTGACTATAATGTAAAAGAAGATAAATTCTAAACCAGTATAAATAACATCTCAAATAAAAATAACATTTTGATGCATTTTGCATTTTTAAAAGCATTTTATTTAATGAAATGTGCAATGGAAGTGTTGTGCCCGGTGCGTTACTGCAGAGCACGCTGAGGCACTGCACATCTCCGTGGGGCTGAGCATCTCCCTCAGCTGGCCCAAAGACATCTTGTTTTGACACAAGGCAAGGAGCAGTAGAAATCTGCAGGTTTTAAAGCAGGTTTTTCCAGTGGTCAATTCCCTTCTCATAAAAAAAGATCTTCCAATAATTTCAGTTTGAATCTACACTGTTTGGCTGCCAGCTATTAGATTTCCTTTTACTTGTACAAAGACTCTGCTATCCAAACCCTCCTTCCCCTCTTCTGGTGCTTAAGGGTGGAACATGAATCATCTCCCTGATAACTAAATTAGCTGAGCTTCCTTATTCTTCTACCCTAAACCAGGTTCCTTTCTTTGAGGCTCCGATTTACCAACCTGCTTTGCATAGGGTGGACCCAAAGACTGTGGTCCCCATTGCACACAGATGTTAACATCCCAACGCAGCTCTTTGACCAAAGTGCTCCCCTGTCTGAAGTCCATTTGGAGAGGGTTGGCATGTTAGCGCTTAGCAGCAGTAGCTTGAATTACAGAAAACTGTGGATAACTGGTCCTTGTGAATCAGAGCGGATCTCATTTGGCTGCACTGACTGCAAGTGTGGATGTGAAGCCAGGACGGGTTTCAATGGCGGTGGCGCATTTGCTCCACCACCCACAGATGGCTGACTTCAAAACACTTTATTGCCCAAATAATCTTGACCATAGACCTGGCCAGGAGCACCCTGCACCTTCCACCTAAGGCTGAGGAGGTGAGGTGGTCCTCCAGGGAAGATCACCGTCTCTTTCCTGAGAAGTTTCTTACTTCCACACAAAGGAAGCACGTGAATTCATTTATCCAGCAAACAAAATCAGAAGCGATGTCCATTAAATCAACACACCCCTCTCCTGCAGGGGCTCCTCTCTTACTCTCTCCCAGGCTCAGATCTGTTCAGCGAGAGGCAGTGGCGGGCAGGCCGTGGTGAGAGGTAGGCCCCATGAAGACATAGCCAAGTCCCGCTCTGACACCCCGACCTGAACGTGCTGGCACAGAGTCTGAACTACCAACCAATACACCAGGAAGGTTTAAGAAAGCAAGACAAGGCGTTAGCACCCACCTCAGCCACACAAGAGGAAGGCTGAGATCCCCCTGGGGACTATTCCTCCTTCAGCTGAATGGGTTTTTATTGCTGCAGGGGGACTGCAGAAGCTCATCAAAGAGGAGTTTGCAAGATGATTGATTTTGGTCTGCAAGGATCTACACCGAGAGAGAGCAGCAGCAAACAGAGCTCCTTATTCTGTGAGGGAAATTGCAGCTACAGCTTTGCCTGGAAATGTGGGAAACAAGATTCAACTTTACCAGGGAAGGCAATCACCCCTGAAGAGTAATTGCCATGAGATGCAGGTCCTGCAGCATTTCCATCCTTCCCCATCCCAGGTGAGCACCTGCTCCAGGCACCCAAGGGGCCAGCTCCCAGGCTGGGGACAACAAAGATAGACCCATTTCTGGAAGGGCAACCCCAAGCCCAACTGCTAGTGCTTTGCCAGCCATGGAGAGGAGAAGGTGCCTGCTTCAACCAGCAACCTCGGCAGCTTCGCTCGCTGTCACAGCCAACACCATCCCCCCATTTTGGTAGCACCAGTGAGGGGCTGGTGCCTCGGCAGCCCCATAAACCACACCCCCCCGGCATCCAGGACAGAGCAAGCCCCTAGCAATGATGGTGATAACAGGGACCAAAGCCACGT